AGCTGAACTTTTTGCCTTGGCCACCCCGGCTGCTCTCCTCCCTCGCTTCATTTCCCCACTCCTCCTTTCACTTTCTGCTACCTTCACTCGGGATTCTGCTGCCCTACTTTTGTCCAGCCTTCTCCTAGAGATAAGATAAACGCTATTTTCAATTAACCAGACTTGATTGCTGAAAGCAATAGGAGGCAGTTCGTTTAGAGCCAGCAAATTAATTGAAATCTAAATGTACATAGCCCRTGTATTGCAGGGAGAGCAATTATCCTGTCATGTGGCCCCTGCCATGCAGGCAGCTGGGCTGGGCTGAGCTGTGAGAGCAGGAGGAGCTCACGTTGCCCTCATCTCTCCTGAAGTTCCTCCCTCAGCAGCTTTTAGCCCACTTTCATCCTGCAAAAGAAAGATCTCCATGGCTGTAAATTAGAGCAAGAGGATGTGTCCTGGGATGTTGGCACTGCTGGGACACAAAGTTGTTTCCTAAGCATCAGTCAGACGTGATGAGATCTCTCTCCTCACTCCTCTTGTCCGTAGGGAGGGCTTGTGCTGCGTGTGGAAATAGAATCTGTGTAATAGCCACCAGCTGAATGGATTCCCTGCCCTTTGCAGCATTTTTCCAAGCGGGATAATCGGTTATGGACACATGGTAGGAGCTGAGACCGTGGGAATTCATTGTCCCTTAAATTATGTTGACACATGACAAACAGCAGAGGGAAGCAAGGCAAAGCAATCAGCCAATTAAAGAAATATTCCATAATAAGAATGATCTTCCATSACTTTTAAAGGCCAAAATGTTTTGGTTCTGCTGAGAGAGCTATTGCAGCTTCTGTACCCTCAGGTCCCTTGGGAGCTGGGTTTGCTCCCTCCCATCACCTGAGGGGACATCTCTGACCAGTCTGAGAGTGCCTAGGCACTAGATTATCGGGAAAAACCTTGGAATGTGTTATCTCTTAAACCAGGTGAAAATGGGAAAACCTCAGAAAGTGACCTAGCACTGATCTGAGCCATGGAGGAGCACCCAGGTGTCCAAACACTTTTGGGGTAACTCACACTTCGGGCATCCTCCCTCCTTCAAAGGGCTGCTCAAAGCTTCCAGGCTGTGGTGAGGGGGCACAGGGGATGTGCAGCGTCAGGACCCCGAATCAGAGCAGAGAAGAGACCCCTCCTCACCCCATGGGGCATCCCCGGCCTCACTGACACATCCAGGAACACCTCACTGACACATCCCTCCATCCTCCAGCAACACCTCGCTAAAAACCTCCTGCTCCACAATTGACACACCAGGGCACTGCGGAAAACAGCCCAGTCCAACACACAATCCACCCAGAGGTGATCAAAACCGCTAATTACGAGCCAAGCTCTGCTGGAGAGGTGACAAACCCATATCGTGCTTTCCTTGCTGCACCTCGCTGCCTCCAAGCCAGTTGGCACAAAGACAATGCTTTCTTATTCCGGGACAAATTATGCTTTTGAGCTTTCCGTCCCTGCCAAGCGTGGGAGCAGCCCCACGTGTCAGCCCGACAGGATTTCCGAGGCTCCTCTCATGGCAGCGCCTCCCGGAGCCAGCAAACCTGCTGCTCGCATGAATTTTCTCTCACCTTCGGGAGCTGCTGACAACGGGGSCCGGGGCGGTGTCCCATTTCCAGAGCTGGCAGCTCCGGAAAGAGCCAGGCACGTTCGCAGGGAGCAGATGAAGCTCGTTTCAAAAAAAAAAGCGACATTTTCGGAGCGCCCCGGCGGTTCCTGCTCCTCCCGGAGCTCCGGCTGTGCGGGGATGCGCTCCAGCGCAGCTCCTTGGAGGGGTTCGGTATGCACCAGGGTCTGTTGGATCATCCTCCCCTCTCTTCCCTTCTCCTGGCAGCCCACTCCAAGTGTCCTTGGCCCCTTCTCCATCGTACTGCCCTCCCCACCTCCATTTCAGGGCAGATTTCCCAGGCAGGTTGAAAAACTTGTTGGAGATGTGACTTTGGCCCAGCTATTCCATGGAGGGAGAAACCCTCTCACCCTYGGCTCAGTAACTTTCCAAATATGATTACAAACTCCTGGGGCAGCTCAGAGAAGGCGTTTCATAGATAAAGGCTGTTTAGGTGACAGTGGCCACTATAATGTTGGTAGGCACAAACATTCGTGAGGCTGGAAAGTATTTCCTGCAACATTGCACTCCCAGTTATCCCAGTTTCAGGTCAACTTTCCCCATGATGGCTGGCCAGGATTGTGCACATTTTTGGTATCACCAGAGGTTTTCCCATGTGTAATTGTTGCTGTGACACTTGAATGTGCTTGGTTTTTTTTTTTTTTAACTTTCCTTTTTTAATGACTGCAGCATATTGTCCCATCAGGGGCAAACATCCTCTCTGTGATCAGCCAGCATACACAGATCTGCATCTGCTCTTTCCAGCAGTAGGGAGTCTTGCAGTCAGTCCCTCAATCATGATGTCAAACCACWGCCTTTCATCCTGTCTATTGCCCAAATTTAAAGTCTTTCAATTCTTCATSTGCTTTAACAGTGGTTGCAAGATAAATCTTTCAGAGAAGCTCTATATGTACGTTCCTTCCACTCAGTTATGCTTTGCAGCACAACTCATTATCCTCTCTTTAGATGTCTCACTTTGACAACTTTTCTTTTATGGTCTTCATTTTAGCTAATGAGCTCCCCCACAAAATCAAATGTTTTGGTGAAGCTCATTTGCATTAAACCTACCACACCTCCCTCCCTTAGAAACACAGCAGCTTCAGAAGAAAAACAGACCAACAAAACAAAYCACAGCAGTCTGTCAGGATCTATCTTTGGGACACAGGGTTTTTTTTTTCCTGTGGTTTGCAGACTGCTTGCTTGAGTTTGGTTGTTTCTTCCTGGCCTGGAGATAGGCTATATCTTCTCTTCTGGCACACAGCACTACCTGATGCACTACAGTTAGCAAAAAGTATTTCCTGGCCTGCAGAGCAATTGGTTCTGCTCATTTCAGGGTGTGCATTTCTGAGTTTTGCCTCTGCTCAGTGACAGAAAGTCTCCCTTTGCTGTGCCCTAATTCCTGTTAATGTTAATGCCACAGCCCTCCCCTTTGCACCAGTCTCTCATGAAGCCCCAGACACACAATTCAGCAGTTTTCAGGCTCTCTTTTGACCCCTTTTAATCTCCCTCCCATTATTCCTGCACAGCAGCCTCCTGTCTCTGTCAGCAGCTGAAGAACCCCGTGCTGCTGAAGGGATTAAGCACCAGCCCCACTGGCTGGGGTGAGGAAGCTTTTCTTCTGGAGTACAGCTCAGGAGCCAGATGGAGGAAGGCACTCAGAGTTTCCCCTCCTACCTGTGGTATTAAAAGCAAGCGAGTGTCTTTTTTCCCATCTTCCCCAGAGCTCCAGGAGAGGATGCAGGTGG